CAGCAGCAGACAAATGCTTCATACCCTACCTCCTCCCTGAGGAGAGCCAAGCATCGTTGCTGGCTGGGCACCCGCAGCGCCTCTGAGCAGCCGATGAGCTGGGTGGATGAGATGTGGCTCTGGTGCACAGAGGAGTGGTCTTGCTGCTCTGGGCTTTCAGTGGAAAATGCAGTGAGTGTGGCTCAGGCACTGACAGTTCCTGTGCTAGATGTTTGTCGGATGCCGCTGCTTTGCATGTCAGCTACAAAGCAAACGTGGTCATTTGCAGTTTTAGTGAAGCGCGAGCTGACAAATTCTTGGGGTGGTGGGAATGTGCTAACCAGCCTTGGGTTGCCTGGGAGCTGGGAAGGCACAGAGCAGCTTTTTGGGGTGTTTAAATCTGAAGCAGGAGGGGATGAGCATTTCCTACTGTATGACAGTAGACTAGCCGATCAGAAATTAATTGAAGTTCAGCAGTAACAACTGTTTTGCGTTTGGAACTGAACTGTCCCAGGCTTGACAGTATTTGGATGAGAGACCATCGGGTGCTGGGCATAACCTTCTCACTGCTGTTTAGATGTAAATCATTAAAGCCTCTGTTTTAAAGCCCCTTTCCTCAGTTCTTGTTCAGAGAGAAGTCATTATGTCTATAACAGGGAAACCACAAAGGTAGTGGCAACAGAATAGGTTTCTTACTTGCGCAATTCGTTTTTAATCTGCAAAGGTATCAATGATTGGGTTAGCTCTGCTTGTATTATCTCTGACTAGTTCAGTGACCTTGCAGCTAACTTCTTTGCCCTAGATTCCCCAATATGAAATTAGAATAATGATGTTCAGAGCATCCTATGAAAGAAAGTGAGCTTTCTGAGAGAAAATGACAACTAATGATGAAAGTTTTAACAGAAATGCCTGTCAAAAAACCCCCAAACAACCAAAAACCCTACCACAAGAAAACAAAGGCTTGCCAAGGTTCCCTGAATTGCAAGCGGAGTTGAAGTCTTGAACCACTACTCTTTTTCATAAGAACATATCTGTGTAACTACTTTCTTTAATTTTTCATTCATTTCAGCTAAAATCTATTTCAGATTTCACAGAGAAGTCACATGGAAGTTGCTTATACATGTGCCTGGAGTCCTGATTCACGTGCAGTGGGGATGCATAAGAAGCCTAGCTCAGACTTTTCTTAAGGCTCCCCAGCCACATCTGGTTTGTGTCAATCAGTCTCTACCTCAAAATGTTTTCATGTTTTAGATGGGAACAGCTTGAAGTGTCATAGAAAATCACTTGTGTGCCATACAGACAACAATACTTAATTCTATAATTAGCTTCAGGCAGTGAGACAGCTGGAAGGATTTTTTGCCGATTTTTTAAGCTTATTTTGGCAGATTTTTACTAAAATGAAAGCTGCTCATTAAAATAACTTTTGTTTTGAACTCCCAGACCTTTTTTGCGGGAGTGCTTCTATAATTCTAAGAAACAGAAATAATGAAAGAACATCCATCGTAAAACTTGATGATATTTAGAACAGAAAATACATACAATAGGCTGATGTCTCATGTATTTTAATGAGAAAGAAGACACAAAATGACTTAGCTTTAAGGGTTTGAATGCATCCCTAATGAGGATAATGTCCTGCCCCCAGGTCCTTGTGGTACAGAAGAGCTGGATTACAAAGAAGAGAAGTGAAAAATAATTTCAGGATGACCATGATTTCAAGATAGAAAATATTGTTAGTTCAGGGGGAATTTGACTTGAAGTCATAAACTGAAACACTCACAGAATTGTGAGAAAAACCACTGAATCCTCTGCCTGTGTCTGGGAGAATGATTTTGAAGAAAAGGTAGAGATGGCTGGGCAATTTGTCACCAAAAACTTTCTGGTTTTAAGGAAACTCTTCTTCAGTGACACCCGTGGTGCTCAGTGTGCCGTGGACTGCAGGTGCTTGGTCGCATGGCGGTGCAGAGAACGGACAGCCGGGGGACTTGGTGGGGGCATCCCTGCGGTTGAGCTGGGGACATGGGAGTCCCAGGTGAACCTCACTGTCCTAGGGCAAACGCATTTCAAATGCTTTTTAAATAAAACCATTTCTAACCACTTTCACCCCCTGCCCCAGTGGAATTTCCCCTATTCTGCTGCAGGAAATCTGTGATATTTATAGCTTTTTGCTGTAAAATGGAAAGATTTCTCCCTCCACCTCAATTTTCAGAGAAAAAAAGGAATCTCAACTCTCAGCTTACGTAGCGCAGGCCTGTTGGTGCATTTTTCGGAAACCTGTAAAACCCACAAAAGACAGTCCCATATCTTCTCCCTGCTGCCACTGACCTGGGCAGGTTCCTTGCTTTTGCAGCCGCTTGCCACGGGTACTTGCCTCTGCTTCAAATCTGGATGCTACCTGGGCTTGGTCCTGTCACTGATGCAACACGGGGAATATTTTGCACACTGTGACAGAGTTGTGTGCCTTTTATCACATGCAGTTGCCCTTGTGTAATTAGTCCTTTAGGTAGCCGGCGAAGTTGATGTTTGGCCATGCCAAGCCACTAGCAAGCGTATGACTGTGCAGCCACCTGGGTAAGCAAGATGGTCTGGCCCATCCAAAATACTGCTGAAGTGTTTGTATCAGCATTGGTGGGGGCATGACAGGTCTGACTGTGGAAGGGAGAGAGCACAGGATCATTCTTCCATGGTAGAAGTGCAGCCTTACACTGACATAAGCCAATCTGAGTCCCGCCGTGCAGCAGTTATTAATGCAGGAAGGTATTAGTCCTCTCAGAGAGATTCTGTCAGAAAGATGATTAGCATGTCATTTCTAGCATTTGGGACTCTTGAAGCCTTTCACTGGACACTTTTTCTTGTTCCTACACGAAAATCAGTTAACACAATTCACACTAATTGAAAGCTGTGCTGGTAGCACTGAGGGAAACATTGAGATCAGGTTCTGTAGTGCCTTGCAGTGGAGTCATTTAGATGTGGCGTGAATGTCCCCAGCAGTGAGGAGGGAAGAAGTCTGGCTTGATGGTGCTTTGCAGATAACCATAAACCAGCTGTAATAGACTGCTGTCAAAGCAATGCAGCACAAGCCTGGCAGTAAACTGATGGTAAACATGACTGCTTATCTGTTCTCCGTGCTAATGTGCCTGTACTGCTCTTCACCTGCACCTGGAGCCCACAGCTACCTCTGAGCCCATCTTCACATCATCCAAATGAAGCCAGATTCAGGAACAGAGTCCAAAATTGTCCCTGTTGGTGCCAAAAAAGTGAACGGGGATTTTAGCAGTCTTTTATTACACACTGTTGATATTTGTTATTTTCATTTGGGTTACTCTCCACAGCATGCCCTTCTCTGGGCTGGTAAAGGTGCTGCAGTCAGACATCGATCTTGTGTCTTAATAAAGGCCTCAACTTGTGAAAAGTGGGTACAAAAAATGCATTTTTAAGAGTCTATAGTTTATAAATTATTTCGTTCATTGAGCAAGGAGCTTTTTTTGGTATCTTTTATAGGAATGTGTTTTATAGGATAACAAAACGCTTTTTAGGTTGGTGTTACACATATTTCTATTTCAAAAGAAAAGGTTTAGTTTGTTAAACAAAGCTTAGTCTTATTATTGTGATGAGGTACACAATTATCTTTCAAAATCCCCATAAAATTTTTCTGCTCAAAGGAGTTAGTCTTGTTTTCTATAAAGTCTCCTCAAAGTGTAATGCTTCATTAAGATTAATAAGGCTGTGACCTACATAGTTTACAAAAGAATTAAATACTGTAATAATATGAAGACCATATTCTTACTGCGCAGTTAATTTCTATTTTTCATTTATATTATGAATGTTCACTTCTTCCTTTGAAGTATGTGTCAGGCTAATGCACAAATAGTGTTCACTGCATAAGAATGGAAAAAGGGTGACTTCGTGGCCTTTTCTGGCAGAATATGTTGATAGTTTTAATACTGCCTTGTCTCCTAACCCACCAGTCCTGATGACTGATTAAAACACTGTGGCATCAGCTTTTGGAGAGCTTTTTTAATTATTTTTTTTTAATATATATTTTTGCTGCTCGGGATTCTACAAGGAACAGGAATACGATATTGTCAAACCTACAAAGAAAAGCTCTGTCCAAGTTTTATGTACAGTTGAGGTCCAAATCCACTTGCTATCCAGACCTTCCATTCAAAAGCAAATTCTAATCTTTGGTCCATGAAGACAATTTGGAGCATTTATGGACCTATGTTCTGGATTTGCCTAGAAAAGTTTGTCTAGGCAAGAGCAGCAGAATACAGGTTAAGACACAAGCTACAGACAAATGACCACTTAGTGGTTCCCACAGGCGGACATGGTAGCTGAACTACTGTTGTTGCCTAACTTCATCTGTTATAAGCCAGCTGCTGGCAGTTGTCTGAGACTTGGTTGATGGTTTATAGTGAGGAGAAGTCCATCAGTGGAAATGGCTGGTGGTATGTTAGAAGAGTACAACTTTACGGGTCACGTCCTTGTTCCCAAGCTTGGTGCAAGAAAAGGGCATTTTCTTTTAGCAAAAATTGAAAGAAAGACTTCAAAGAAGTGTTTTCTTTGATGGAATACAAAGAAGTCCTGTGTCCTTGAAGAGGATTGTTGGCATTCTACAATAGTTTCCAAAATTGGAGGCTATGCGTGGCGTGTTTGTCTCTGTGTATGAGTTTCTTTTAATTGGCACATAACAAATGTAAAATTAGAAAGTGATACAGCATAAAAGAAGATAACATTAAAAAAAATCTTAGCAGACTTGAACTATGTTACTTTCTGGAAGTTTGAGTTATGCCTCATGTGTCCTTGCTGCATTTCACGTTTTAAAAATTATTGCAACCTGTAATTGTTCCACAGAACTTCTTTTTAGTGGAGCAAAGAATAAGACATCACTGCAGTTTGAGCAGCTGTTAAAACTTATATTCAGTCTTTATACTGACTTTATGTAGCTGGGTGGTACAGGTAATGGTCAGTATATGCCAGTTTAGTTTATTTAATAAAAATTTCTTTCTTTTTCCTTCTTTCAGTTGATCTTAAGAAAGGCTCATGTCCAAGCGCTGCAAAATCAAATCTCCCCAAGCCCTGCCAGTCTGGACTTCGTCCTCCAGGTTATTCACGGCTGCCAGCAGCTAAGCTGGCCACATTTGGGTTTGTCAGGAGCTCAAGCGTATCCTCTGTCTCCAGCAACCAGTCAAATGACAGTGCTCAGAGTGATCAAAGCAGGACAACCAACCGTAAGTCCAAAAAGTGTCCTTCTTTCTAGAGGGATATTAAATAGATGTGTTCCAGGATTGTCCAGACTGGAGTTTGTGTCTAATTTAGGACTAATGTAATCTGTGCAGCACTCACTAATCTCTTCTGTGCCACTGAGTTGTAGGTTTGGTATCTTGATTTCCCAGTGTAATTTTTTAAAATATTACTAATAATAGATGAATAGGTGCTGAATGTACATTGCATACAGAAGGGTCTGGTTTCCCTGCTGCAGAGAAAATCACATTAAGAGTGAACCTAAGGCATTTTTGTATTTTGTTTTTACTTAGCATATCCCTTCTTACAAGCTGAAATAAGTAAATAATCACAGTAAACTCCATTTGGTAAGTACATTGCAGCCATGCAGAACACTTTAGGACGAAGATTATCTAAAATGATCAACATAGTCTTATCTGCTTTTCTTCTGCCTCTTAATACACAGTGTAATAAACTTAATTTAGAAAATTAATCAAATAATGCCAGTGATATGAAAGAGTCAGAACTGATATCGTAGCTGTCGTCTCATCTACCAGACTTGGAAGGATCCCATGGCTGAAATGTCATTTCAAATCCTATTTTCTGTAAAGACTGTTAATTTTATTAAGTACAAAATAATACCCACTGGATTGTGCGGTCCTTGGGAAGTGTGTGCATGCCCTGGGCGTGGAGCAGAAAGGGGGATTGAGGGATTTTCATGCCCATTTTTCTTTGAAGACTGGATTGAGCCTGAACTGTGTCAATATCAAAGCAAGTGGTATCAGTCTGGGAGGGCTGCAGATGGGGTGGACCAGGTGATAGGAAGCACCAGAGGAGACAAGATGCTTCAGGCTCCTCAATCTTTCAATGTTTGTATTAATTTGAAATGAATTAAAATAAATAAAATGAAAATAGTTAAAAACCCTAAGGATTTTCTCTTTCCCCTTTTATATGGGGCAGTTGAAATGCCGAAGACTAATGTGTCTAGGGACTTCTAACTTTTCCAATGCCCCCAAACATATGTTTCTGTCTATCTTGTTTACTGTTGGACTGATCACTCGCATCTGTCTATTTCCTAGTAAACTCTACTTTGAGGGTAGTCAACCTCTTTTGCTTTGCACTTTTACCCTACATTTACGCCTTTGGAAAGCTTTTCCTTTTATCTGGTGTAATCTTTTTATCTTTGGTTACATAAAGCCTTTGTTAGGGACAGAATTACCTGATTTCTGATTAGATCTAAACTACATCTCTGCAAGAAATGTTGTTGTCTAGCAGTTTCAGGTGTGAATCTGAAAAAAATATCATCTGTAGGTACAGCACTGTCCTTGAACACAGTGGATGCATACAGGTTCATACAACTGAGAATTCTCTAAAAGGAAAATACTCCAAACTGTGGAATTTGAGTCAATTGATTTCCATTAAAAAAACTATGGAAGAAGCATTACTAATCTCAGACCCAGAAAGTTACGTCTGACTTTTCATTTGTCTGAAAGAAGTTGATTTCATTTATATATTCTGGTGTATTTTTATATTATATTTGTACATTAAACCCATAAAAACTGAAACCATATTCCAATCACTGGAAGGATGTGGAAGTATTTGGCGCATACATTTTGTTCTAGCTCACTTGGTTGAAGATGGTAACCCTCTTTAATTTTGGGTTTAGGATGTTGTGACCAACTTGTGCATGTTGCAAGAATGTTTCTGACAGATACGAAAATTACCCAGGGGAAGTGTTCTGCTTGTACAAATTCATGTAGAGACGAGCTCAGCCTGTGACCTGATGAACAATAGGACCTATCACTTCTGCTCTTGCTGACAGGCTCATCTAAGGAGTTGTCTAGTTTCTCTCCACCTCCATGGGAGAGCAAGAGAATGAGCACCTCCCGAGGGTCATATCTCTGACATGGTTCCTGTGACATGCACAGCTTTCTATCCCAGAAGTCTTTTATTTGTCTTTAATTCCAAATGGATAGTGCTTCCTCCTGGACTGGGGTGAGACGAGGAGAAGGTGTGTTGCCAAGCGAGTGAGGGCACGCCTTGTGTTTAGGGTGTCAGCACTCAGGTAAGTCATCACACGAGAAGACACCTAACATCATCTGCTTTCTTTGGATTAAAGGCAACACAACTCCCGTTCATCACTCCTAATAGGCCAGATAGGTAGGAAGAAAAAATTGTTTCCTTACTGTTGAATTATTAACTTTCATAGAAATGTTATCAGTGTGAAACTGAATCTTTTTCTATTTATAGTCTATGTGCCAGCAAGAGTTAAATTAGTTGCCCAACACCCAGGGAGCACAAATTAGTTGCTTTCCATTCTACCGCAGCTTATTTAACACAGATCAGCAGTGCACTTCAACATGCACAGAAAGTAACCCCAAGAGTGGATGTAGGTGAGAAGTATTGGCTTGGGAATCTTAGCATGACATATTATTTCTTCCCTTCACTGTCTGCTGGAAGAATGGTTTTATTTAAATTAAATAAATAGCTGATTCTGTAGTTACTACCTGAGATCATGTCTTTGACTAAATCAGGCTTCCTAGCAGGGTAAAGTTTTACTGTTAATTTCCTAGCTCAGTAGGGTAGAAAATGCAAAATGATCTAGCTTTAGAAATCTTCAAACGTATATGATAACACAATTTCCTATTTAAGCAGCATCTCTGCGTGTCAGGGAGACAGAAGTAATTGAAAAATCTTGCAAGTGGGCATATGTTATAAGTAGAGGGACTGCTACTGTTGTAAATCGAGGGGCTCACCTCAAGATCTTGTATCTGCCGTAAAAAAAATTATGATGTATTGTAAGTTGCTAAAAAGCAGATTACTATGGGTGAGAGGAAAACACAGGTTTATTTTAGGGGCAGAGTGTTTTAGGGGAAACAACGATTCTTGAAGGGGTCCTAGTGAGATCCTGTTCTTGCTTTTCTCTCCCCTGCCAGATGTCTTGTGGTGCTAGCTCTTCCCAAACCCCTGATGGTTACATTTCTTTTCAGAAATCCAAACTAGTCTCTCATTTTGGCATACTAATACTGATTAAATACTGTCTAGAGAGTAAAACCCCACTTGTTTAGAGTAAGGAGACGTGAAGTTTGTGTTGCTGGGAAGTTTGTTAATGGAGCTGCGATGTGGCAGCTTTGTTCTTCACCAGATTTCTCCCCTTCCTGTGACCTCTCTGAAAGCAGTAAGCCTGGATGTGCACGGAGCCCATGCTACACTCCTCGTCTGACTTTCTGGCAATAGCTCGCATATTCTGATTCACTCAATTAAATGGATTTGCAGCGGTGGGATTGTGCTCTTTTCCCATGGTAGGGACAGGGCAGGCTGTGCAGCACTTGCCTGCTTGTCCTCTGGTCTTTCCTGGAGTCCTGTCCCTGGAGTGTGGGTATAAGCCAGGCTGCTGTTCGCCGATAACACGCCAACTGCGACAGTCGTGCCATCAGCTGCTAATCAGGATCAGTCATAACGGGGCTCTGCTTCTATGGGGTCCTGCCCAATTGTGTGCTGAGGCTGGAGGGACAGCTCTGGCATCCAAACCACTCAGCATCTTGCTCAGCTTCTGTGACAGGGAATTGACCTGCAAGCCAGGGTCACTAGTCTGTTTCGGCCATTTAAAATCCTCTTTTTGGGGCTTACATGTAACTTGCGGTTTGCACACAGGGGAGCCAGGGTCTGTGAAGCTCAGTCATGATGACGGTGGCATGTGAGGCAGCTTCTCACCTTGCCGAAGGAGGTAGGATGCAATGACAGAAGCCAAAGACCACTCCATTTCAAAGCTGGGTCCTAGGATGGATCAGGGGAGCTCACCGTGTCTCACCACTGGCTGTCCTGCTGTGTTCAAAATGAAATGGTTAAAATGGTTCAGGGTGAGCTCTTTGTTCGATATGGCAAACAAGGGCAGTTGTGTTTGAATAAAACAACTCAGAGAAGTGGAGGCAGTGAGAGCTCGCTGTACCAATGGAAGGGGTCCATCCTTTGTTGCTGCTAATGTTCCTCTCCGCTCGGTGTGGAGCGTGCAGCTGTCCCTGCCACTTTCACACCTCCCATCCCATGGCTTCCCACATCAGAGCAGCTCTATACCGCAGTGCAGCAAGGCCCACGTGCGGTCTCCTGCTGGGGCAAAGCTACATGGCCTGACGCCTGTGGGACAGCTGGGAAACCCCAGGCTGAGGCTCAGCTCCAGGTCCTGCTGTCAGCCCCCCCCAGATTTGTTCCGTGCCACAGATAGGTTTTTCCAGTAATATTTTAGTTCAAGATTACCTGAAAAGTTCAGGTTTACCCTCAGCTCTGGCATACTACTCATGAGGTTTAAAAATGCATAATATTCTAAACCATTATTCTTTATTTAGAGAGAGGGTTTTTTGTATGTCAAAAAACTTGTCGAGTTTGTTTACACTCTAAATTGGCTAGAATTGAATAATTCAGATACTTCAATCTAAGAGGAGCATGAGTGTTCTCTGCTAAATATGAGAAAAAGCGAATGACTGGCAAAGTCATGTTAAGGTTGAAACCAGTATGATTTGGAGTGGAGTGAAACAATTGTGTAAACATAAAGAAAAAACTCCTAAATAGGTAACTTACAACAAAGTGCCTAACTTTGCATATTTTCCCTTGGAATTTTACATACACTATATTGAAGCTTCTCCTGTGTCTGAGGTTCACGTCGTACACCAAAGGCCCCCAGTTGTCCGATAAGGTTCCATATTATCTTGTGATTCTGCAGTGTGGTAACACGATGCCCAGGCTGTAGTTTCTGTTTTACCGGTTTAAGGGGCGTAGAGTTCTCTCATTGCTTGTATCTGTAATTCTAGTGATCGGCTGAATATCCTGCTCACAAAATTATTTTCTGTACTTCATCAGAATAGACTCTAAACGTGCTGTAAGCACCACATGGGAAACACTTCATTAAGCACTGTGAAACAGTTTGATGTGTGGAGCATTGGAAGAAAGACGGATTGTTTAGAATGAGTTGAGATACGATAACTGCTATGAGTTTAGGAAATGGAAGAATGTA